GCAGGGGGTTGGACTGGATGGCCCATGAGGTCTCTTCCAACTCTTTGATTCTATGATTCTATGATCTGGCTATTAGCTTTTTCACACTACATTGCTTTAGTGCTGTATTCTACTTTAACTGCCATCCTATGGAATCCTGGGATTTACAGTTTGGGGAGAGAGATTTAAGATTGTCATCTAAGTAGCACCCCACCCCCCAAGTTACAATCCCCAGAGTTCTCCAGGACACCGCCATGAAAACTAAAGTGGATACAGTCGGCCCTTTATATCCACTGTGTTTAGGGGGTTAAGGTCCTTGTGAAAGTGAAAAACATGAATTAAAAATGGTTGTTTTTTAGTCAGTCAGTCAGTAGCCTTTATTTCGGTCAACAAACCATCGGCTAAGTCAAGTGAGAGTAGAATGATGAAATACAACAATAAACAATTAATAACATCACATTTGGCTTATAATTAATAAAAACAAGTATCGCCATTCGCTATCGGATGAATGGCTGTCTATATAATCTAAAACAGGAACTGATTGCAAGTTAATAATAAGTCTCCCGAGTACTCTTTGTTAGTTGCCAGTTTTTTAAAAAACCTGAGAGAATACTTCTCTGGGAATCCCTGGATCCTCTGGCATAACTGTTATGGTTAGTGTGCAGTAGAAGTGGACCATGGAGTCACACTGGAGGATCTAGAAATTCTGAGATAGAACATTTTTAATCAAATCTGCTTACAATGAAATCCACAAAAATCATACCTCCAAATGTGAAGAACTGGCTCTACAAAGCTATAAATGTGTAGCATGGCAAATCTGTATGCCTCCATAGTCAATCATGAATTGATCACAAAAACCATTATAGAGATCAGTGTCGTTCTGTGTATGGAACTACAATTCTATGCTAATTCATATAGGATTTGGCTTTATTTACAAATACTGCTACTAATTATACCAATAGAGTGGGGATAGGGCATAACCTGCTGTTCAAGTCATTTTCATTTTTAAAACACTGAAATAAATTAACATACCCTCCTAAAGCTCCACATAGAAAATGAATGTGCCCTGTCCTTTAATGATCACCTTGTTTACCTGTTCAAATTTTTTTTGTAAAGGTGACAAGATTGGTCCTTGGTAATATAACAACTAACTATGAATCATTTGTAAGTCAGGTGTTTGTAACTTGGGGACTGCCTGTATGTCCTTAAATTTCAGGATTAGCCTCTGGCACTGGAAGCTAACACTTGGTTTCAGCCTTAGCACCAATTAAGTTCTAACCAAACAAGGAAATGGTGTAAAGTAGGAAATACACCCCCAGAGGGTGAAGGAAAGAGGTAGCCAAGTGCCTCGGGTGGCAGGTAGTCATATGACATCATAGGAAGAGTGTTAGGAGACTGGCGTGCAAAAACTAACTCATCTTAGCTAAAGTTTGCAGGGAGCAATTGAGCTCTGAGGCCTTCTGTAATTGTTTAGGAGAGCAACAAGCTGAACCTGTTTGTGTTTTGCAAGTTTGGTTTTGGCTGTATAAAATTCAGGTTTCTAGTTCTGTCGAAGTTGGAGGAGCAGACTCTACTTGATCTTCTAAGCTATTCAGTATGCCTTTTCACCTGATTAATAAACAATGATTTCTCTTTAAGATACAAAATAGCTTCTGACCCAAATGGTTGGGTTACCGTTGACGAAAATTCTGGGACTGTGACGACAGCTAAAACACTTGATAGAGAATCACCGCACTTGAACAACAGTGTCTACACCATTGTGATTCATGCTATTGATGATGGTAAGTCTGTTTTGAAATGGCAGTGGTAAAAATCTAGTTGCCTATCAGTGGATTTTTTTTGCCAATTGTGAAAGATGTGGATCAAAGATGAACCACAACATTTCTTCCCAGTCCAAATCCTGTCCATCTTCAGAACTGGCATATTCTATTTAGGAAAACACAGCCTGCCTTACTTAAGGAATAATACAGAATAATCACAGGATGTCTTAAACCTACACCTGTTGATAAATTCTACAAGCTAGCTGGCATTGCCCCCCAAATGTGTGATGGGAAGTTGCTGCTAAATGTGAGAGAAATAAGGTTGAACACTGTGAAAGCCATCCACTACATGGCTACCAGCCTCCTCTCAGTAGACTCAAATCAAGGAAAAGCTTTATGAGAACTACCACTCTTCTTGGCACCCCCCCCCCCCCTCAGCAACAGCAAGGGCAGCTAAACCAGGAAATCCCAACTGGATGGACCCCCACGAGGGTCTTCCTTCAGAGGCAAACCAAGAATGGGCAACTTGGAAGTCCCTAAACAGACTCAGAATTGGAGTGGGCAGATCAAAAGAAAACCTGGCCAAATGGCACTACCTAAAAGAGTCCCACACCCTGTGTGACCGTGGAGCAGAACAGACAACTCCGCATCTGTATTACTGTGCATTATGCTCTGCCTCATGTACAGAGGAAGAATTGTTGGAGTCTACAGACATGCCATTGTGCCTGTTGCCCATTTTTGGTCAAAATATATTTAGTTGCCTACGTTCCTTCTATTTTTATCAGTTTTATACTAATGTATGCAATACTTTTGATAGGAAATAAATAAATACTTAAGGAATTTCTTTAACTATATATACTGTGGCTGAAATTGTTGCTGTATACTTTCAAGTTGTTTCCAACTTATGGCAACCCTATTGTGGGGAAGCTATGAGTATGTGATTTGCATGAGGACACTCAGTGGGTTTTCATGACTAAGCAGAGATGCAAAGCCTGTTCTCTGAAGTCGTAGTCTCATACTCAAATTGCTATGTCACATTTGCTCCTCTTGGTTAATACAAACAAGTCTACACACAGGTAAATCCATTTGATTCTGTGACTCCACTCTGATTAGGATTAACAATAGCATTTAGGCCCCTATTTCCTCAGTTCCAATGTTTGTCTCATTTTTTAAATTATGGATTATAAGGTGGGCTGCATTTTTACCAATTCCTATTAAAATGTGTAATGAATCTATCTGCATTTATTATCTGGTTGGTGGCTGCAGTCTGGAAAGCCATAAATCATGCTGTACACTGTGACAAGGACATTGGGGGAATTTTATAGAATATGGTTCCAGCATCTGAATCCCTTGGCAGAGACTGGAGGGGATGTATAGAAGGATTAAAAAGGAATTTCCCTATCCTGTTAATAAGTAGGTAGAGAAACCGCTGTAAATTTTTTCCAAGTCCTAAGCACGTTCATGACCCATTCACAGTGAACTCTTGCTATTGATTTGTCTGTTTTTTGAAAACTTGCAAAACAGGCCAAGCTTGAATGATGTATGGTCATCTGACATTTACAGCAGCTATGACCTTGTGTGGATAATAGTGTGGAAAGTGTTTTCTGAAGAGGTCAGATGCCTAAAGCCAGTGGATGAAATCCATCTCTTATACTGAAGGTTCTTTCTGGCACTGTTTCTCCTTTGTTTGGTTGTGCGTGTGTTTTCAGTAAAATGGAATGTTTCCCCATTAGGTGTTCCACTGCAAACTGGCACAGGTACCATCCAGCTTTACCTGGCTGACCTTAATGACAATGCTCCAATGCTAGTTGCGCCATTTTTGGTGGTTTGTGAAGGAAAAGTAAAAGTACCTTTCCGTATAAAGGCAGAAGACAAAGATTCCCATCCATATGCAGAACCTTTTACATTCCAGATAGTGGAGACCTTGGAGAATATGGGAAATTCTTGGAAACTGGGAGAGAATTTTGGTAAGTTAACCTCTAACTGTTGTGGCATTTTGACTATTCAACAGATTTCTCTTCACAAATAGAAAAAAAGGAGAATGGAAGTAACATACTTAATATGGAAAGAAATACTAAATTTGGAAGGAGGCTTGATCTTTACCTAGGGCTGCCACCAAGAGAAAACTCCTGTGCTCATGGGTGGACTTGCTTTCTGTTCTTGTCCTCAGCTAAAATCACCTGGTTTCTTTCAAGTCCAATTTACTCAGTCTCAGATATATTTGGTTTCAGTAAAGCCAATATCAGGAGGCATTGACTCTATAGAATAAACGGAAAATGTGTGGCTGGTGTGAGAGGCTGAAAAAGGTTGTGGTGGCACCTAACAGAAGCCATAGCTGCCAGAATTGCAGGCAGGGCAAACAGTGGGTAAAATAACTCAATAGCAAAATATGGCTGGAGAATTAGAGAACAGAAAAAGTTCTGTGGCTAAACTGAATTCAACTGTAATGTTGCATTCAAGGCCTGGAGAACAGGAAGAAGTAGGCGATCTCTGCCTTAACTCAAAATGACAAGAATGTGACCTTTATTATTATTATTATTATTATTATTATTATTATTATTATTAATTATTAACTTTATTTGTACCCCACTAGCATCTCCCGAAGGACTCGATGCGGCTTACAAAGGACAAGGACTCAACAAAACAATAGTACAACAAATACAATTCAAAGCAAATAAAAAACATCAAAGCAATAACAGCAAACAACAAAACAATACCCCTTTGGACTGCAGAACCCCTTTGGACTGCAGTTTTCATAATTCTGTACAGTTATTGGCACTGACTTGAAATGATGGAATCTGTGGGCCAAAAACAACTTGAGTAGTCCATTGTTCACAATTGCACCAGTAAGAAAGATTGACAGGACAGAGAAGTAGCCAAGACAAATGTACACTTGTAGCAGATGTATACAAAGAGACTTATATGCACCTATATAATGAGGCTTTGCACTTCTGTATATTCTGCAAACCAGAAGAAGTTCACATGTGAGGAAACAGCTCAATCAAGCAATATATTTATTTACTTATTTATTTATTTACTTTATTTGTATACCGCTCTTCTCAGCCCTTGGGCGACACTCCATGATCCCTTCAGTTTTTCTCTGGTTTAGGACACAAGGTGCACATACCTACTTTTGACCTTGTCTCCAGTCCTTCAATTAGCTTCCTTCTTTTGCTGCACCATTGAGCTTTTCCTTACAGATGAGAGACACTTGAGAAAGACAGGTGGAAATTAACAGGAAAAAATGTGCATGTCCTATGTCCAGCTTGTGATCTGCAAATCTTTTGTTGGTGGCAGTAAGAGTTGTTATCAGATAGGTTTTCCTATTCTAGTTCTATATGATAAATACTCTCTGATTTTTGGTCCTTAGGTTTGTGCTATTTATATATTACTGAGTTGCTTTGATAAACCCAAGTTTGACAAACTCAAGAAAAGAACAAGAACATTGGATTGAGTATATCTTGTAGTAATAAGGATGTGGTCCTTTTTTAATGGCAGTGTTGAGCATGTTGTCTCAGGCTGCTATAGAGTCAATTCTCCAAAAACTTTCAGGGAAAGTTAGACAACTCTCTTAACTCTAGAGGTCTTCTCTTGCCTTGAAGATCTGCCAGAATCTTCATTTTAAAATGAAGGGTGAGGGGAGATAATCCCTCACTCTTCTGTGTCCTTCACCCTTCCGTGTCATCATTGTACTGTTAACTTTTGCAAAGAAGTATAACCTAATAATGGTGTTTATTCTTTCCTGTCTCTCTCCTACCACTCTCTTTCTATTTCAGATGATTCTGTTGAGCTCTTTATGATGGAGAACCTTCTACCTGGCAATTATTCAGTGCCTCTTCATATTTCAGACAAGCAGGGGTTTTCTAGGGAGCAGACCTTGCATGTTACAGTATGTGTCTGCCAGGATGGGATGACGTGTGAGCAGAAGAGTGCACGGGCCTCCGGATCAGTGGGTCTTGGAGGGGGAGCCATTGGAGCAATCTTAGCTGCATTCCTCTTATTGATATGTGAGCATGGTCTAGTGTTTACATTTAACTATATGTTTCCTTTTAACTAATCAGAAACAGTACACATGCCTTGTAAACGTGGCATTTAGCCACATTACTACCATGGGAAAGCACTTGATTTTTTAAAAACAACTGTTCTGTTTCCATTCAAAGTGCTGGCTTTAATCTTTTAACAGTCTGTAAACCAGGAGTGGGAAATTCTTGAAGTCCAGGAGCCAACTTCCTTCTCGTGGGACCTGTCAGGTCTGCACTGAATCCATTTATTTGAAAAGAGAGAGAGAAAACAAAACCAGTTATCTCCCCTCACCCTCCAGTTTTCAAATAGGAAAGGCTGCTGTTTAAAAGTGAGAGGGAGAATCTTGTTTGGAAGGAGTGTATTGCTCTTTGAATCATAGAATCCTAGAGTTGGAAGAGACCAAAAAGGCCATCCAGGTCAACTCCCTGCAATTATTTCTGACATTTCTAAGTGACATTTTTAAAGTTTTGACTGACATAAACCCATCCTCATCAAAGGTCTGTGTGTGAATTAGACAGGATGATGGTAAAAAAAAACTTGATGGTTAAATCATAGTTGAAGTTATAAGCATCACTTCAGCTACACCAGTAGTTCTCAACTTTCCTAATGCCTTGACCCCTAAACGCAGTTCCTCATGTTGTGGTGACCCTCAACCATAACATTATTTTTGTTGCTACTTCATAACTGTTATGAATCGTAATGTAAATATCCGATATGCAGGATGTATTTTCATTCACTGGACCACATTTGGTAGAAATACCCAATATTCCCAAATTTGAACACTGGTGGGTTTGGGGGGGGGGGGAGGGATTGATTTTGTCATTTGGGAGTTGTAGTTGCTGGGATTTATAGTTCACCTACAATCAAAGACCATTCTGAACTCCATCAACGATAGAATTAAACCAGTCTTGGCACACAGAACTCCCATGACCAACAGAAAATACTGGAAGGGTTTGGTGGGTGTTGAGCTTGAATTTTGGAGTTGTAGTTCACCTATATCCAGAGAGCACTGTGGACTCAAACAATGATGGATCTGGACCAAATTTGGCACGAATACTCAATATGTCCAAATGTGAACATTGGTGGAGTTTGGGGAAAATAGACCTTGATATTTGGGAGTTGTACTTGCTGGGATTTATAGTACCTCTGCAATCAAAGAGCATTCTGAACCACACCAGAAAGGTATTTTTATGTAAAGGTCCTTAGGATAAGGAGTTTATAGAGCCAGTAATGAACTTTCCCCCTCCTTTTTAGTGGCTGTGTGTCTCCTACTGTGGTGTTCCAGAAGCATGAAATCTGAGAAAGGCCAACCTTTCATCCCTTATGAAGGAGGCAACCAGTCTCTGATCCAATACAATGAAGAGAGTCAGCATGTTTTGTCTGAGGTGAGAAAGAATATCCTTTAAGTCATGACTTTCCAGAGGTGGTATCTTTTTACAACTTTATTGAACAGTACCTAAATACTAGAGTTGCTCACTGCAGTTTCTTCTTGCTGAATAAAGACCACACCTCCACTGTTACGAACGTTTACTTGCACTGTGTGAATATCATATCTATGTATGCACACCTGTTGATATAAAAGGCAAATCATGCTCCAGAACACACAGGGTGCACCCACACTATAAAGTTAGTGCAGTTTGATACTACTTTAACTGCCATGGCCGAATGCTATGGAATCATGAAGATTGTAAGTTTAGAAAGCCATAAGGAAAGCTTGAGCGAAGGAACTTTTGAGCTGTGATGTTGGAGGAAAATTCTGAGAGTGCCTTGGACTGCAAGAAGATCAAACCAGTCCACACTCCAGAAAATAAAGCCCGAGTGCTCATTGGAGGGAAGGATATTAGAGGCAAAGATGAGGTACTTTGGCCACATAATAAGAAGACAGGAAGGCTTAGAGAAGACAATTATGCTGGGGAAAATGGAAGGAAAAGGGAAGAAGGGCCAACCAAGGGCAAGATGGATGGATGGCACCCTTGAAGTGACTGGCTTGACTTTGAAGGAGCTGGAGCTGGCCTCGGCCAACAGGAAGCTCTGGCTTGGGCTGGTCCATGAGGTCACAAAGAGTCGAAAGTGACTGAACAAATAAACAACAACAACATTTAGCCTTTTCTACCTTTTCTACATTTAGCCATTTAGTGCAACAACAACATTTAGCCTTTTCTACCTAATAGTAAAGAGTAGAGACATCAGACTGGCAACAAAGATCCGCATAGTCAAAGCCATGGTATTCCCTGTAGTAACCTACGGATGTGAGAGCTGGACCTTAGGGAAGGCTGAGCGAAGGAAGATCAATGCTTTTGAACTGTGGTGCTGGAGGAAAGTTCTGAGAGTGCCTTGGACTGCGAGAAGATCCAACCAGTGCATCCTCCAGGAAATAAAGCCCGACTGCTCATTGGAGGTAAGGATACTAGAGACAAAGTTGAAATACTTTGGAGACAGCAAAGGAGACAGCAAAGCCTAGAGAAGACAATTATGCTGGGGAAAGTGGAAGGTAAAAGGAAGAGGGGCCGACCAAGGGAAAGATGGATGGATGGCATCATTGAAGTGACTGGACTGACCTTGAAGGAGCTGGGGGTGGTGACGGCCGACAGGGAGCTCTGGCGTGGGCTGGTCCATGAGGTCACGAAGAGTTGGAGATGACTGAACGAATGAACAACAACAACCTAATAGTGCTAGTGCATTACCAAATTCCAGCTTCCATGATTCCGTAGCATTGAGCCCTAGCAGTTAAAGTGGTTTCAATTTGCATCAATTCTACAATGTAGATACTAGGGCTGTCCAAACATGGAAAAATTTGTTTCTAAACTCGATTCGTTTTTAGGGGTTTTTTGCGTTTCGTTATTTAAAAGAATTCCGAAATTTTCCTTAAAATTTTTTCGATATTTACGAAATTTCGGAAATCATAAAACAATTACGAAACAATTACGAATCGATTACGAATCGATTCGTTAATGGCGGCCGCGATCGCGCAATACGCTAAAAAAACTTCTGAAGCTTCCCTCTCCCTCTGTTGTTGACTGTTGGTGTGATAATTATATTTTTTTTCACCGAGAAAACAAACAGCAACCCTAAAACTTGCACCAGACATGCGGAAATAATAACGAAACATTTACAAATCAATAACGAATCAATTCCGAAACAATTACGAAACGAATTGGAAAAATTGTTTCGTTTTTTAGTTGCTCCTGAATGGTTCAATATCGCTTCGTTATAAAAAAAAAATAACGAATTTTTAACGAATTACGAAATTACGAAACAAAACCGCCCAGCCCTAGTAGATACACCCACAGATATGCAAAAAACACCTGGAGGGCCAAAATGCTAAGAACCATTGCTTTATTTTACAAATGAAATGTGTGAGGCTCACAGTAGGGCCAGGGTTTCTGGTCACTTTGTTTGCATGACACATTTAATTTGAATTTTCTTAAAGCATTACAGTGGGATTTTGTGGTTTCTTTACAGCAAGACACTTAATTAAATTTATTGCTTTGAAATTCCATTTAGGACACGCCTGATTTGAGGATTCATGCTGTATCATCCCCAATGTATGCACAAATTTCAAAAGAAAAATCACAGACTGCTAAGGTAACTGGGAAACCCCTGACTGGAATACAGCTCTCCATTTCTTGGTATATGCTATTGATTGTCAAGGCCTTATTGACTGAAATGACCTGCATATAACAGTTGTATAAGTGATCCTGCAGTGTCTGTCCTCATGAGAATTAGATTTTGTGCAGAAGTTTCTATTTGATTTTTTTCACATTTCACGTTGTGATCATTATGATTTTAATTTCCCAGAGATTTCCTACTTTTAAATATTTATGGGCATTTAGTTCAGAAGCTAATACATTCTAGTAGCTAGAATATTTAATGAGTGTCTCTGAATCCTGAATTCAAGTGCTCTCTCTACTTTGACTTCAAATCATTTGGGACCTCTGCAATACTATCATTGGAGATCTCCATTTCTCCATAGCCCAACAGTAGTGGGATATTTTACACATTTGTTATTAGTTCAGGTAGTGTCTGGTTTGGTTTTACAACCAGAAGTATCTTGTTGCCATGTGCAGTTTTTATCTTGTTGATATGTATTGATCCCTTTTTATAGCTATTCTGTGGAAGGGAGCTTAGATAATGAAAGTAATTTACCCAAGGTAGCCTGTGAAACTTAAACCTGGGATTGCTATATATCTACTGCTATCAGACTGTGAATAGTTACTCACTGATTCCTAGGAACAGTTCCCATAACTTCAACTATGTCTATGTTGATTTGATGAATATACGTAAGCATTGTCAAATATGCACCTTATTTATTTATTTGTTTTTGATATTTCTATTCCACCTTTCTGGAACTCGAAGGTGACTCAAGGCAGTTTACAACCAGCCATTTGATGCCTTAACAATAGACACTTAAAACCACATTTAAAACAGAATTAAAAAGTACATACAACAAGACCTTTAAAAACAATATAGAAAACCTTCACATGATGGCATATAGAATCCATTTAATGTATTGTCGAAGGCTTTCATGGCTGGAATCACTGGGTTGTGTGTTTTCCAGGCTCTATGGCCATGTTCCAGAAGCATTCTCTCCTGATGTTTCGCCTGCATCTATGGCAGGCATCCTTAGAGGTTGTGAGATCTGTTGGAAACTAGCAAAATGGGGTTTCTATATCTCCCACCCTGTGTCCAGGGTGGGAGAAAGAACTCTTGCCTGTTTGAGGCAGGTGTGAATGAAGCAGTTTGGCCACCTTGATTAGCATTTAAGGGCCTAGCAGTTTTCAACCAGAGAAGTCAGCCATAGCAGAACACTTGATGAACCAACCTGGAAGTAGTATATTATTTGAGAACTCATAAATACTGGACCACTCTCACAACCACCATGTCAGACTACACAGGGAAGCCAATGAAATCCACAAGCATGTGGACAATCTCAACAGAAAGGGGAAAAAACATGAAAATGAACAAAATCTGGCTACCAGTATTAAAAAAAACCTTCTAAAATCATAACAGTAAATAAAGAACAACACTCAACAACAGGGGAATTCCAGTCAAGAAACAATCAGGGGCAACTAATCACCTCCCAACAAAGGATTCCTCCAAGAACTATAAGAAGCCAGACCTTGAAAACTGCTAGGCCATTAAATGCTAATCAAGGTGGCCAATTTCTACATTCACACCTACCTCAAATAAACTTCTTTCTCCCACCCTGGACATTATTCCACAGATATATAAACCCCAGTTTCCTGGTTTCCAACAAACCTCACAACCTCTGAGGATGCCTACCATAGATGTAGGCAAAACGTCAGGAGATAATGCTTCTGGAACATGGCCCTACAGCCTGGAAAACTCACAGCAACCCAGAATCTGTTTAATTTGGTAGTGTTGAGGCGATTTACACATTGAAAAGTTAACAAAAAGAATGGTCAAAAGCCATCTTGAATATAAATGTGAAAAGATGAGGTATAAATGAAGTGATTGAAGGAGCGAGGGAGGGATTGATTGTTCCCGCTGTAGAACTGAAGAAATGAGGTACTTTTGTACTGTTCATTTCTTAGGAAGTACCTGGAGTGACTCCCTCACATTCACGAACATCCAGCCAAGTGCATTATGAACAAAGCCTGTTTGTGAGTAAAATGCTTTCAAAACATAACTGAAGTGCTCTTGTGAACAATGAGTTCAATGATAATAAATGCATGCCATGTATTGGAGAAGTTTCAAACTTTATCTAATTTAGAAAAACAAAAAGGCTCCAGAATCCTTTAGTCAATATGATCACTGGGTGTGCTGATGAGTGGTGGATTTATGGAGTTGTAGTCTAAAGAAGTGACTTTACAAAGTTCTGTGCCAAAGACTGAAAATTTTGGTTAAATGGCCTATCTGCTTGCTTTGCCATTAATCATGCTACTGAAAAGTCTCCATCTATGAAAGGAGACATTCTTGATGGAAAGCACTAAAGACGCATGGAGCCTGGTGTTTTATTTTCCAAAGAGTTGCCAGTCACTAACAGTTGGAAGGCTTCCAAGATAAAGATGGCAGACGGTTATGTTTTGATCGAACCTACACAAGATTATTGTGTTATCATTACAGTTTTTACTGTCAAAAGAGAAGGAAAATATTTTTGGATTTCTTTTTGCCTCAGAGCAAGAAATAACTTGGTTGCTCATGGGCCCATTGCAGGTTTGAGGCAAGGGAATGACTTGCAGGTGCCTTATTGCAGATCATCTGGAATTGAATGGGTTGCTGATTTTTTAAAACTTTCACCACAGGCCATGTTGGGTGGGACTGATGAGAACTGAAGTCCATGTAGAATGCCAAAGCTTATTTTCCTCTGCCCTTTTGCTCCCCCTGGAAACACTTAGCCCATGTCTGTATGTATGTATGTATGTATGTATGTATGTGGATGCAGTGCAGTGCATATATGAAAGATGGCTGGCTAAATCCCCCAACTAGTATAGCCCAAAAATAGAACCTTTTCCAGATTCCAGGGGTACTTTGTGCTTTTTCTGAATGGCAGGGAGTTGGACTAGATGGCCCATGTGATCTCTTCCAACTCTATGATTCTGTTCTATATATCTACGAGGGGTATTTTTTAAGTAAGGTCCGTTTTGTTGTAGACACTAGTAGTTCGCACGCATACCGCAATGAGCACATGCATCGTGTACCGGCATGCCTCGGGAACAACTGTGCTCAGTTTCTGCTCTGTAGCTAACCTGTACGATTCTGTTCTGTGCTTTAAAAATGTTTAAGACTATCAACTCACACTCCGCATGTGAGGTTCGATCGCTTCAACTGAAGCCACCAAATCGTCTGTAATCAAAGAAGGGCGATCGGAGCTGTCCTCATCATGGACGTTGTCACGGCCATCTTTGAATTGTCATACCCACTTACGGACTTTGCTTTCACTCATAACAGTATCACCGTACACTTCACAAATGTGTCAATGAATTTCTGCAGCAGGCAGGTTCCTTGCTGACAAAAACCATATCACTGAGCGAACCTCACATGCAGCGGGTGAGTTGGTAGTCTTAAACATTTTTAAAGCACAGAACAGAACCATGCAGGTTAGCTACAGTTGTTCCCAAGCACAGTTGTTCCCGAGGCATGCCGGTACACGACACACGTGCTCATTGTGGTATGCACGCGAAATACTAGTGTCTACAACAAAACGGACCTTACTTAAAAAATACCCCTCATATATACCATCTGGTCTGAAACTCTTACAGTGGCAAAAAGGAACTTCATGTTTAGACTTGACTCCCATCTCAAAGATATTTCATTATGTATGTACAAGTATTCAAAAACCCAACATATGGAACTCTTCTGGTCCCAAGAATTTTAGTAAGGGATGCTCAGTCTGTATAGGCAAGGGACAGGGCATGAGGGAAGGAGGTAAGAGATAGTATGGAATTCTGTTGGTATTCAGATGCAATTAAGGCGATAAAATGTCTAGAAACTTAACAATTTGAGGTAGTCTGGTTGAACCATTAGTTTGTTATGGACACAGTGTATCTTTGAGATGGGGAAAAAAGTTTTCAGTTGCCATTGGTGGTTCTGCCTCAGGCAGCAAGATGTCTTCCTTGCAGTGGAATTGAGGAAGTGAGACATTTTGAACTTTGCATTAAACCTCCCAGTGACATACTTATCCCTACACATTGGTGACCAGTAGCTTCCATTACAACGGGGTGGTGAATCAGCTGTGGGTCCTTGTATAAACTTGAAGGGAACTATCCAGGGTGCTGAACAACACCTTCCCCAAATTGCTTCATCACCTTGGCTGACTTCTTTAAAATTGAGGCTAATAATAGTAATAATAATAATCTTTATTTATACTCTTCCCCCTCTCCCTGGGGAAACTCAAGGTGGCTTGCAACACGACCAACATACAAAAATAATAACATATCAATTAATAACTAAAAAATAATATGAGTATAAATAAATAAAGCCTGGAATGGAAGCACAGTGGCCACTGACATGAGAATTGTAGTTGTCTCTCAGGTTTTAAAAAGGCATTTTAAACATTCTTATTTTAAGATATGATTTTAGGGTGTGGTGGGAAAGACATGTCTTTCTAGGTTCTTTTTAAAGCTACATATTCCATTTTTTCATATCAAGGATGGAGTTGGAATGATGCAAGCACAGGTTGCAGCAAAAAATGGAAGGATAGTGCCACCCCTAACTATCCAAGAGAATTTCCAATCTAGTCCAGATTGGGTTCAGGTACGATAAACCAACTTAGCAGTATTCCCACCTGTTTTGTCTTTAATGTAGTTGAAATATATCTGATGCATCAATTTACAGAATAACTGTAAATTGTACATAAACTGTAAACTGTAAATAACTGTTACCATCTTTAGTTTTCTCTTCTGTTTGAGTCATATGAGGGCAGGGCTTCCAGATGAATTTTAATGCCTTTTTTTTTCATTGGCAGGCAACCAGGTTTCCTCAAAGCAGTAAAATATACTGGCAGAAGCCTCATGATCCAGTTTCCGAAGCGGTGGGCAGAATCTTAAAACAGGTGAGAAGAAGATAATAAAAAAGAGCCTTACACCTCATTTCCCCTAATACTGTGTGTTGGATTTCCTTAAGGGTCAGATTTAAATTTGGTAATGTAGAAGCCAATACACATCAGAGGCATACCTTTTAGTAAAGGTTGTCTAGCATTTTTATTAAATAATAATGTTGGCAACCTTTTAAACCTGGAAATGTCAGGTTCTGCTGTGAAAACATTTGGCTTTATTTTATCTCACAAGATTGTACAGCCTTGAGGTGCTTCTGGATCTCCAAACTATGGTGGTATCTAGGGAAGATTTTGCATTTTTCTCAACTTTCTTTCGATACAAAATTCATCCCATCAGTTTTGGACACAGCGTAGCTTATTCGCATCTCTCCAGTGTCAAGGTCAGGGGGATTTGTGAGGGCATACAACCTGTTGACCATTTAAAATGATTCAGGATTTGCAGAAAAAGTAAACCCTACCTCTATCTCCATAGCTAAAGTACAGGGAGCACACAACTGTTATGCCAGCTCCACTGGCTGCCAGTCTACTACCGAGCACAATTCAAAGTACTGGCTTTATCCTACAAAGCCCTAAACAGTTCCAGCCCAGCTTACCTGCCTAAACATACCTCCCTCTATGATCCACCTCAGAGACTAAGATCTTCTGGGGAGGCCCTGCTCTCAGTCCTGCCTCCTTCGCAGGCGCAACTAATGGGGACGAGAGACAGGGCCTTCTCAGTGATGGCTCCTCGGCTATGGAACTCCCTTCCCAGTGAAATCAAATCAGCTCCCTTCCTCCTGACGTTTAGAAAGAAACTCAAAACCTGGTTGTGGGACCAAGCTTTCAGAGAGTAGTCAGTGCAACAGGTGGCTATGAAGTAATTGCAACATGATGGTAATGGCTCCTGGATTATCACTTTGGATTTTGTGTGATTTATATAGTTTATTTTAATTTATTGATATTTTTATTTTTATTGATTTTAATGTATGTGTATATTGTATTTGTATGTTTATGTCTATATGGCATTGAATTATTGCCAATTAGGAGGTGAGATAGAGCAGGGTAAAACTATAGTAAATAAAAATAAAGTAATAAAATAAGTTATGTACTATATTAAGTTATGTGTAACTAGTGACTTTCAATTTTTGTCTGGAAGTATAAAATATGAATTACAAAGACAGAAAGGCAGTCTTTTGTTTAGCTATCTGAATATTCTTTCTCTTTTCTCAGAAAGTTGAGTATGTCAGCAACCTAGAGGACAACATGGTCTCTTACTCCCCCCGCGTTTATGCACGGGAAGGACCATTGGAGAAAAACGCATCTTCTTGGTCCCTACCTGTGCCAAATGATTTTGACAATAACAGCTTACCTCCTGATTTCTTGGACCAGTTGGGACCTCGGTTTCTCGCTCTGGGCAGAATCTGCAGCAAGTGATTGACTGTGCTCTGTGCCTTTAGGAAGCCTGGATCCTTCCAGATTCATCTGAACCTGAAAATGCATGTGCACGCGAGCCTGCTCTGGAAGATGATTGAGGGAATACGTTTTTTCCTTTTGTGGAGGAACTAAACTGACTTTTGAAGAACAGAAGAATTCAGGGACTCTAATCTTCTATCCTCATGTTATGAATCTTCCCAAGCTTTCAAACCTGTAGGAGAATTTCTCTCCTTTCCCTTTTCTTATGTATTAATACAGGTTGTTTGCTGATAAGGTAGAACAAACCTATGCCCTTATTTGTTCTTTCCACTCCCCTAACCCCATAGTCATCTTGCCCAAAGAGCTCTGTCATCTCTGCAAAAGCACAGTGCTTATTAACCTAAATGAGGGGGAAAGGAGAGCTAGTGATCTAATATATAGTCTGGGAGGTGAGGATTCCTGTAGGGCTGTGGCATGCATTGTTGCAAAGAGTTGTTACCTAGCTCCTTGCTCAATGTCTACTTTCTTGAGGTAGCTGTTAAGCAACGAGGGCATACTGAACAGCTTTTGTAGTAAAGGAAGATAAATGAAGCCACTCTTCCTGATGTCCAGCAAGTATCTGAAGATTTAAGAGAGTGACTTCATTTCTTTCTTCTGGATACACAACTGCAGATGAGAGCAGCCTGCTCTCAGTAAAAGTGTGATAGCTGGGACCGAGTGCTGGTAGCGCTATGCTGATTCCGTAATGTTGCTTCCCCAACGCTGACAGTGCAATCCAGTGGCAGGATACCACTGAACTCAATTGACGCAGGTGGGACACAGATAACAGTGAAGTAATGCTTCCCTGTTTATTGTTCCCGTCTTTCTGTCTCCCCCCTTTCTGACCTGTGTTGAGCTTGTCTTGTGTTCCCATGAACTATCTTGCCAACTCTGTCCCACCTGCGTCTCTCACTCTGCCCGGTCTCACTCCGCCCGCTCTCTCAACCATGTGGTCACACACGTGTTCCTCATTCACAACCAACGTTCCAGAATCAGCGTAGCACTACCAGCACTCGGTCCTAGCTATCATACTTTTACACTGTTCTCCTCTTACTATCTGTGTTTCAAACAGAGGAGAATTGGAATTTCCAGATAGATGTGTCTATTGTGGATGTGTTTATCTGTGGAATGATAACCACGAAGTTGAGAAAGTATTTGAAATATTTTCTGACGCTGAAGTTTTGCAGTCTGTCCAAATCATACGGGTGCAACTTCTTGCATAACAACCAATTATGCACTGATTTCTTTAAATACAGGACTTGGAGAGAGAAATTCTACTCATGAGTTGCTGTTGCTGTCTTGATAAACAAACCAGACATACTATTTTTTTTCACAATCCAGGTCTGTGTTTCACTAAAAGAAAAAAAACCCTAACATTTATTCTGAGGTGCTAAGCAAATATTTTGGTGAGTTGTCAGTTGTGTGCTTCTGCATCAGTTTGTAGAGGAAGCTATTTTGGTTTGATAGTGAGGTTGCGGCTTCTCTAGAGGAGGGATAGTGGTTTTGTGGAGTGGTTGAACTGAAGCTTTCAACAGCATTAAAATACAGTCAGTAGAAAGGATGCTGGGAACTATAGTTCAATAACTTCATATTCTCCTGTTATAGTGGGTAGAATTCTGTCTATGCAAAGGGTAGCAGGGATAGCAATAATATATTGGATGTCAGATGCCGAGAAGCAATTTTTTCTTGTTTCCAAGGGAATTTTCAGCAAGTATTCTGTCAACTGCTGGCTTGTTTTTATACATGTTTGATATTTTAAAAATAAATACATTTTTTTAAAAAAAATTCTTGTTACATCTGAGCAAACTCTGAATTCTTTCCCTTTCATTTAAAAGGTTGGGAAGAAAAGGAACACGGCAATCTAAGGATTAACTACATTTATCACTGTAACAGTGTTAGGATCATTTCGTACTTCACAAATACAGTACTATGATGCCATCTGAACTGCTGTGTTTGCATTCTCTGGAATCTTGGCTGAAAATTCCAGATAGCTTTCCTTAAACTGCAAGTTTAGGGTGTTGCTATAAAAGTTAAAGTGGACACTTAGTACCATAATTCCATTGGGTTAAAGGGGACCTGGAAGCGGTTTTGGTATAAATAAAGCTGCCAGCATGGTATAGAATCATAGAATCAAAGAGTTGGAAAAGACCTCATGGGCCGTCCAGTCCAACTCCCTGCCAAGAAGCAGGAATATTGCATTCAAATCACCCCTGACAAATGGCCATCCACCTCTATTTAAAAGCTTCCAAAGAAGGAGCCTCCACCACACTCCGGGGCAGAGAGTTCCACTGCTGAATGGCTCTCACAGTCAGGAAGTTCTTCCTCATGTTCAGATGGAATCTCCTTTCTTATAGTTTGAAGCCATTGTTTTGCGTCCTAGTCTTCAGGGAAGCAGAAAACAAGCCTGCTCCCTCCTCCCTGTGGCTTCCTCTCACATATTTATACATGGCTATTAGACTATGATGAGACTAGGGTTCAATTCCCTGTTCAGATATGAAAGTCCACTGGGTGACCCTAGAAATCACACACACTGAGCTCCAGAAAACCCAGTAATAGGTTCATTTTAAGGTTGCTTTAAATTGGAAGCAGCTTGAAGACACACAACGACAAACACGTACTGCTTTAGGGCCAGATCAGAAGGAATTGCTGAGCTTTATAGTATGACAGAACTAAAATTGCATTCCCTGTTACCTTCTGATGTCATGAACCCTTTCCTCTCTCCATTGCTGAAAAATGATTTTCAGCTATTTTATTACATTTATTGCCTTTTCTTCAAAGAGTTCTGATGATGCATGCAATGGTATTTTTCATTTTTTATCTTGATCTCAGTCCTCTGACTTAGGCTAGGTTATCCAATGAGGAAACATGACCCTGAAACCTATCCTTTTAGGCCCATCATTGGGCACCCTTCTCCCCACTATGCTTGTGGAGAGAAGGGCGGGGTAGAAATGAATGAAATAAATAAAATAAATAAATTTAACCAAGGTTCTGCAGAGAGTAACAATAGGAAGGGACATCTTTCTGAGGACTTCATCACACAAAGTTTCCATGACATTGACATGATGGGAATAGTAGCAACTTAGCAGGATGGTGACTCTCATACCACTCTATTCATTTTGGAATTGCAAGACTTTGCTGATATGTGGTCACCTTGACTGTACTTCTAGTTAGCAGTATAACTCTGCCCTCTCACAATTCAAGATTTTTTTTTTTAAGGACAACTTTATTTATTTATTTATTTATTTATTTATTTATTTATTTATTTGCTACATCTCAGCCCGCAGGCGGCTTGGAGCGGTTCACAAGGCAACAATTCAATGCCAACAACATCATAAAAACATTTAAAACATTTAAAAGCAATAACATATCAGTTAAAACCATAACAATAGTAAAAAAACCCCAAGTCATTTCGTCTCCTAATTAAAACATCATCCAAACTTATAATCCAATTGTTCCGTAATCCAATGTCTGTTACACTGCCTTTTCAAACACCTTCTCGAACAGCCAGGTTTTGACTTTTCTTCAGAAAATCAAAAGGGAGGGAACCAATCTAATGTCCCTAGGAAGGGTGTTCCATAGTTGAGGGTCCACCACTGAGAAGGCCCTGTTTCTCATCTCCGCCAAGCGTATTTGTGATGCAGACGGAGTCGAGAGCAGGGTCTCCCCAGACGATCTTAACTTCCTAGATAGTTCATAAGGGGAGATGCGTTTGGACAGGTAAATTGGGCCGGAACCATTTAGGGCTTTATAGGCTAAAGCCAGCACTTCAAATTGTGCGCAGTAGTAAACTGGCAGCCAGTGGAGCTGGCGCAGCAGAGGAGCTGTATGCTCCCTGAGTCCTGCTCTTGTTAGTAATCTGACTTTGTTATTTGATTGGAGTTTAGATTTTAAATAATCACTGAAAAACTGAGAAGGAGCGGGAGAAGAGGGCAAGTGTCCTTTGATATCCCTTCAGTGCTGGCATGCCACCACAGAAGTGGATTGGGCTCATTGCACAAAAGTAAGTGATGGAACTGTGTTCCAGCAGACATGGTGAGAGTTGCAAGAGCGGGGGGGGGGGGGGGGGGACAAGGCTGGAGATGCATCCAGTTTGTTGCAGTGGATGTGTCTCATACAAACTGAGAGGTTAAATTGAAATAGCTCCTACCAGAGGTGTAAAACCATTGTCACTCACTTTTCATGTTATGTTCCACTTGTATTGCAACTTATCACCAGACTATGAAAGGGTGGGTGATATGTGATTTTGCTGCATTCATCCTTTTGGACATTGTTGTTTATTCGTTCAGTTGCTTCCAACTCTTCGTGACTTCATGGACTTGCCCACGCCAGAACCCCCAACTCCTTCAGAGGCATCCTAGTCACTTCAGGGATACCATCCATCTATCTTGTCCTATAGTACATCTTACTCTTATTACATACATTTCTCTGGTAAGTGGAGAGATTTTCTTGTGCCCTCTAGTGAGATATTAGCACAATGGGAGGGTGTCTTGAATCCATCTACCTTCCATTTAGGCTTTTTTTTATCAGCAACTAAACAATAATTTAATATGCTTTAAACAGATGAACAAAGTTGGTACATTATCTCACTTTCAGCTTGATATTTTAAATGAAAATAAACTGGATTTGAACCCAGAAAAACTCAAATTGCTTGAAATGGTGTACAGCAGCACAAGTGAGTATTTTCAACCCATGGACAAATTTCCATTACAGAAAGGGCAACACTTCAGACATTCAGGGGATGGGGGGGGGGAGCATGGCCAAAACAAAATGGCTAAGTTTCAGATGTAATTCTTACTAATTTCAGCCCTTTTCTACCAAGTATGCAAAGCACAGCTCAGTTCTATATGCCTGTCCTCTGGAACAAGCCTCAAAGCAGCAGCTTCAGGCAGAACAAGAGCTCCGCTGCATAGAACAGCTTTAAACAGCATCTTACATACCCTCCAGCTGTCCCAATTTGGCAGAGACACTCCAGATTATTCCTCTATCATTCCTCTTTTTGGATTGTTTCTTTCCTTGCCTAAGAAAACCCTATGAAATTTATGAGGTTGACATAAATCCAACAGGGGACTTGAAGCACACATAGACACAGAGAACTAGGGAACAAAGGGAGTTTTATACTTTAGCTCCTCTTGACATCTATCTAAAGTAAAGCTTCACCTAATTTCATTGAACTGTCTACTGCCTTAAGGGGTAAACGAATCCCTTGTTCTCTGGATGTAGCTTGGTTCCTAGTCCAAGTACTTCAGGTTGTGCATGAACAATGAAATACAACTAGCTCCACTCTTCACATGGCAAAGTGCTGCCACCCATCTTTTCCTGTGATCTGCAGGAAAAAGGGGATGGTGCTTAAGTTTGTTGTTCTTTATCAATGCATTGGTGGCCATGGAGTACTGGGGATCTCCTGGGCACTTTTGCCCCCTTCTCTCTCCAAGTCACCCGGCTGCCTCTCCTGACATTGGCAAAGACACCTTGCAAAGTCCAGGCACTCTCTGGAGCTCCATGGTCACCACTATGGTGACAAGCAATGACAAAGGCAAGCAAGAGTGACTGTCCAGTGGAGCCAAACTGGGTTCAGCCTGAATGAACAATCAGGATTGCACTCCTGATACTGCTATAGTTTGGGAGCAGGGAGCTGTGAACAGCATGGCAGAATCCAGGGTGGTTCGAAGCCCAAAGTCATTCTCCTCTCTTGGGGAAAAGAGCTCCTAAATTAGTTTAGTTGCTACTGATGTGGTAGGGAGCCCAATACCATTGTCAATAGCCAGTTCAGGTTACTTCTGTATGTGGAACAGAAGGACAAGAATATCATTTTGTCTCAGGCAGGAAAAAGTCTTGGGCAGGTCCTCTTATGACCTCATCAGATGGCACTGTTTTCGGAGGCATACATTGGTTCCTCAGTGGTTTTGCCACGGAGCTTGCTGGCTCCCATCCCATAATGTAGAACTACTTCTAAGGAAATGAGTACTCTAAGATGGCTGCCTCTCTGCACCATCTCACAAAATGGCTGCCAAAACACTT